TACCGTGTGTGTGTACTGTGTGTGCACTGTATGTACAGTTTATGTACTGTGTATGTACTGTATATGTACTGTGTGTGTACTGTGTATGTACAGTGTGTGTACTGTATATGTACTGTGTGTCTACTGTGTGTACTGTGTGTGTACTTTATGTACTGTGTATGTACTGTGTGTGTACTGTGTGTGTACTGTGTAAGTACTGTGCATATACTGTGTGTGTACTGTGTGTGTACTGTTAGTGTGTACTGTGTGTGTGTACTGTGTATGGACTGTGTGTGTACTGTGTAAGTACTGTGCATATACTGTGTGTGTACTGTGTGTGTACTGTTAGTGTGTACTGTGTGTGTGTACTGTGTATGGACTGTGTGTGTACTGTGTGTATGTACTGTGTATGGACTGTGTGTGTACTGTGTATGGACTGTGTGTGTACTGTGTATGTACTGTGTGTGTACTAGGGCAAGTAAATAAAAGCTGTGTGTACTTTATGTACTGTGTGTGTACTGTTGTTTGTACTGTGTGTGTACTGTTTGTGTACTGTGTAAGTACTGTGCATATACTGTGTGTGTACTGTGTGTGTACTGTTAGTGTGTACTGTATATGTACTGTGTGTCTACTGTGTGTACTGTGTGTGTACTTTATGTACTGTGTATGTACTGTGTGTGTACTGTGTGTGTACTGTTTAAGTACTGTGCATATACTGTGTGTGTACTGTGTGTGTACTGTTAGTGTGTACTGTGTGTGTGTACTGTGTATGGACTGTGTGTGTACTGTGTAAGTACTGTGCATATACTGTGTGTGTACTGTGTGTGTACTGTTAGTGTGTACTGTGTGTGTGTACTGTGTATGGACTGTGTGTGTACTGTGTATGGACTGTGTGTGTACTGTGAATGTACTGTGTGTGTACTAGGGCAAGTAAATAAAAGCTGTGTGTACTTTATGTACTGTGTGTGTACTGTGTTTGTACTGTGTGTGTACTGTTTGTGTACTGTGTAAGTACTGTGCATATACTGTGTGTGTACTGTGTGTGTACTGTTAGTGTGTACTGTGTATGGACTGTGTGTGTACTGTGTGTATGTACTGTATGGACTGTGTGTGTACTGTGTGTATGTACTGTGTACGAACTGTGTGTGTACTGTGTAAGTACTGTGCATATACTGTGTGTGTACTGTGTGTATGTACTGTATGGACTGTGTGTGTACTGTGTGTATGTACTGTGTACGAACTGTGTGTGTACTGTGTAAGTACTGTGCATATACTGTGTGTGTACTGTGTGTGTGTACTGTGTATGGACTGTGTGTGTACTGTGTGTATGTACTGTATGGACTGTGTGTGTACTGTGTGTATGTACTGTATGGACTGTGTGTGTACTGTGTGTATGTACTGTGTGTGTACTGTGTGTGTACTGTGTGTATGTACTGTATGGACTGTGTGTGTACTGTGTGTATGTACTGTATGGACTGTGTGTGTACTGTGTGTATGTACTGTGTGTGTACTGTGTGTATGTACTGTATGGACTGTGTACGAACTGTGTGTGTACTGTGTAAGTACTTTGCATATACTGTGTGTGTACTGTGTGTGTGTACTGTGTATGGGACTGTGTGTGTACTGTGTGTATGTACTGTATGGACTGTGTGTGTACTGTGTGTATGTACTGTGTGTGTACTGTGTATGTACTGTGTGTGTACTGTGTAAGTACTGTGCATATACTGTGTGTGTACTGTGTATGGACTGTGTGTGTACTGTGTATGTACTGTGTGTGTACTGTGTGTGTACTGTGTAAGTACTGTGCATATACTGTGTGTGTACTAGGGCAAGTAAATAAAAGCTGTGTGTACTTTATGTAGTGTGTATGTACTGTGTGTGTACTGTGTTTGTACTGTGTGTGTACTGTGTGTGTACTGTGTAAGTACTGTGCATATACTGTGTGTGTACTGTGTGTGTACTGTTAGTGTGTACTGTGTGTATGTACTGTATGGACTGTGTGTGTACTGTGTGTATGTACTGTGTACGAACTGTGTGTGTACTGTGTATGGACTGTGTGTGTACTGTCTATGTACTGTGTGTGTACTAGAGCAAGTAAATAAAAGCTGTGGTTACTTTATGTACTGTTTGTGTACTGTGTTTGTACTGTGTGTGTACTGTGTGTGTACTGTGTAAGTACTGTGCATATACTGTGTGTGTACTGTGTGTGTACTGTTAGTGTGTACTGTGTGTGTGTACTGTGTATGGACTGTGTGTGTACTGTGTGTATGTACTGTGTATGTACTGTGTATGTACGGTATGTACTGTGTATGTACTGTGTTTGTACGGTATGTATGGTATGTACTGTGTGTGTACTAGGGCAAGTAAATAAAAGCTGAACATGTTGTGGACCCACTGGTTATAAGACCACCTCCTGACCCCTGAGCTAGCGTCACGCTGCCCAGTAAAACACGAGAACTTAGCTTAGCCCAGCCCCCTCACTAAAGCCCAGCTGACCCGCTGCATTAATGTTGTGGTTCCACAGTAGAACCGTTCTGCAGCAGGTCTAACAACAGGAAACTATTGATGACCTAGTTACATCCAGTGTGACATCACCCTAGCGCTCCTGGCTAAAACAGGCCATGTGACATGGTTCCAGGGTTCTGTGAACCTAGTGTGTAGTTCAGGGAGCATAGGACTCCACAGTGCTGACCCTCTGCTCTGGTTCCAACAGCCTGATGAGATCAAGAAGCTGGTTGGTGACCGGTCAGGCTTTGGTCAGAACGGAGTCTTCATCGCGGGACAGCGGTGCCGGTTGATCCGGGATCAGTTGGACGTGGACCCTATCTTCACACTGGACCTGAAGACCGCCGCTGATGCTGACGGCAACGCCTACGGGATCTGTGTGGGCAAGAGCAAAACAGGTGAGACAGGTAACACCCGAGTGTAGGAAGCAGGTTCCTGTTAGAGTCTGACCTCTTGTCTCCACCCCTTCAGCTATAGTCATTGTAAAGGGCATCAAGGACGCCACCGGGGGACAGCTGTCCAGCAAGTTGTACTCTGTTGTTGAATACCTCAGGAAGTCCAACTATTGATCGGTCATGACTGCAAGTCCCCACCCCCACCTGATGCTGCCCCACGCCCCCGAGCCTCAGGAGGGTTATGCTCCACCTTCAGGGATGAAACATCATGTCCTCCTCCATCACTGACTGTGTGTGTGTGTGTGTGTGTGTGTGTGTGTGTGTGTGTGACTGCTGATCAGCGCGTGTGTATTCAGGGACGAGTGTTACAAGTTCCACACAGACAGAGTGGTGTCCATCACACACCTGAAATAAAGGCACGACTACGTTACTCTGGTTGTTGCTTTGTGTCTTTGTACCTGACACACACACACACACACACACACACACACACACACACACACACACACACACACACACACACACACAGACAAGTAATGTGTCTATAGTTACATTGTGATGTCTTAGTAAATATTCTATTTGGTGAGAGATAAACTTTATTGTATTTATCCTAGTGGATCTATAATTAAACGGGTAAACTAGTAGTAGCACATCCAACGTCAAAGAGAGTAAAAAGTTATTATCAGGAGAAGGAGAATGATTTAGTGGTTAGCAGCAGTGTGCTAGTCGATGGCCCCCTCCATGAGGCCACCACAGCTCAGCAGAACATCGTTGTAGCTTCTTCTGGGGAGAAAAACACTTGGAGAGAAAATAAAGTTAACAGCTGAAATAGCAGGAAATAATACAGTTAAAGAGCAGATTGTAGAAGAAAGCAGTAGAGTGTGAAAAGTGGTCAGTGTGTCCTCCAGCAGTCTAAGCCTATAGCAGCATAACTACAGAGATAACTGTGTAAGCCTCACGGACTAAAGCTGGGAGCTGGTTCCACAGGAGAGGAGCCTGATAACTAAAAGATCTGTCTCCCAGAGCCCAGACACCCTGGCAAGGTCTGTGCTATATATCCATAAATGAGTACACCCCCTTTAAAAACTAAACATTTAATCAGCAGCTCAATGAACAAAGGCACAATTTCCAGAATGTTCCCAAGGCTGGTTTTATTGAACACGTGTTTAAATCCATAACATAAATTAAGGTTAGTAATATAACTTAGATCACAAAATCCTCAGTTTTACTAAAGTTGGTTGAAGCAACAATAAACACACCCACAACAAAACTGTTGTGGGTGTGTTGTGGGCTGCATGGTGGCGCAGTTGTTAGCACTATTGTCTCGCAGCACGAAGGTTGCAGGTTCAAAACTCGGCTGTGGCCTTTCTGCGTGGAGTTGCGTGTTCTCCCCATGCATGCGCGGGTTTCCCCCGGGTACTCCGGTTTCCCCCACAGATCACAACATGCCCTATAGGTTATAAATTGTACGTTGCTTTGGACAAAAGTGTCTGCCAAATAAATAAACATAAACATTTATTTTTGTGTAGCATGCAATCTACAGTCAGTGTGAATGGGAACTCTGAACTGAACTGAAGTCTGCTAAGTAAATTCAGTTGGAATGGTTGCTTTGGAAAGTGCCTTAAGATTTGTGTTATGAATTGTTTCTAAATAATTAGGGTTAGGGTTAGTCCACTCAACAAACTTGTGCAGGGTGGGCAACCTTGGTCCTAGAGAGCCACAGTCCTGCATTTTTTCCAGCCATGCATGAACTTGCAGTTGCTAATTGGCTGAACACACCTGATCCAGGTAATCAACAGCAGGAACAACAAAGTTAGTAGGAAAACAGGCAGGACAGCAGCTCTCTAGGTCCAAGGTTGCCTACCCCTGGACTATGGTCTATTCTGGTCCACATAGTAAAATATTGTCTATACCGGTCCACATAATACACTAGTTTCTATTCTGTCCACGTAATACACTAGTGTCTATACCAGTCCATGTAGTACACTAGTGTCTATACCAGTCCACGTAGTACACTAGCGTCTATACCAGTCCACATTGTACTCTAGTGTCTATACCAGTCCACGTAGTACACTAGCGTCTATACCAGTCCACATTGTACTCTAGTGTCTATACTAATCCACGTAGTACACTAGTGTCTATACCAGTCCACGTAGTACACTAGTGTCTATACCAGTCCACGTTGTACTCTAGTGTCTATACCAGTCCACGTAGTACACTAGTGTCTATACTAGTCCACATTGTACTCTAGTGTCTATACTAATCCACGTAGTACACTAGTGTCTATACCAGTCCACGTAGTACACTAGTGCCTATACTAATCCAGGTAGTACACTAGTTTCTATACCAGTCCACGTAGTACACTAGTGTCTATACCAGTCCATGTAGTACACTAGTGTCTATACCAGTCCACGTTGTACTCTAGTGTCTATACTAATCCACGTAGTACACTAGTGTCTATACCAGTCCATGTAGTACACTAGCGTCTATACCAGTCCACATTGTACTCTAGTGTCTATACTAATCCACGTAGTACACTAGTGTCTATACCAGTCCACGTAGTACACTAGTATCTATACTAATCCAGGTAGTACACTAGTGTCTATACCAGTCCACGTAGTACACTAGTGTCTATACCAGTCCACGTAGTACACTAGTGTCTATACTAGTCCACGTAGTACACTAGCGTCTATACCAGTCCACATTGTACTCTAGTGTCTATACTAATCCACGTAGTACACTAGTGTCTATACCAGTCCACGTAGTACACTAGTGTCTATACTAGTCCACGTAGTACACTAGTGTCTATACCAGTCCACGTAGTACACTAGTGTCTATACTAGTCCACATTGTACTCTAGTGTCTATACTAATCCACGTAGTACACTAGTGTCTATACCAGTCCACGTAGTACACTAGTGTCTATACTAATCCAGGTAGTACACTAGTGTCTATACCAGTCCATGTAGTACACTAGTGTCTATACTAGTCCACATTGTACTCTAGTGTCTATACTAATCCACGTAGTACACTAGTGTCTATACCAGTCCACGTAGTACACTAGTGTCTATACTAATCCAGGTAGTACACTAGTGTCTATACCAGTCCACGTAGTACACTAGTGTCTATACCAGTCCACATTGTACTCTAGTGTCTATACTAATCCACGTAGTACACTAGTGTCTATACCAGTCCACATTGTACTCTAGTGTCTATACTAATCCACGTAGTACACTAGTGTCTATACTAGTCCACGTAGTACACTAGTGTCTATACCAGTCCACATTGTACACTAGTGTCTATACTAATCCATGTAGTACACTAGTGTCTATACTAGTCCACGTAGTACACTAGTGTCTATACCAGTCCACATTGTACACTAGTGCCTATACTAATCCACGTAGTACACTAGTGTCTATACCAGTCCACATAGTACACTAGTGTCTATACTAGTCCATGTAGTACACTAGTGTCTATACCAGTCCACATTGTACACTAGTGTCTATACTAATCCACGTAGTACACTAGTGTCTATACCAGTCCACGTAGTACACTAGTGTCTATACTAGTCCATGTAGTATAGTTTCTATACCAGACCACGTAGTACACTAGTGTGTATACCAGACCACGGAGTACACTATTGTGCATATCACTCAGAGCAGAAGAATATTTTTTTTATAGTGGTCCAGACAAGTCAACTGGTGTGGGGCTGTAGAACGGGAGCAACCCTACGTGATCTTCTGGAGCCAATGACTGTGTAGGCATACTTGTTGTCTATGGAGCTGTGGAGCCTGACTAGATGGCTGTAGAACCTGAAGCTGAACTAGACCAGTGTGGCAAAGAAACAGGTGCCTGTTAAAGTTGACCAGACGACTCAGCACAGAGTGACTGAGGAGCCAGAAACAAATAGGCAGTGGATTCAGATCAGTTAATCAGAGGTGACCGAGGAGAAAAAGGTTAATGCAGATAGAAGAATAGAATAGAATTGTCCACCATAGTGGAAGTTTCCTTTCACTCTCATAAACAAAAATAAAAGCCTTCCTGCATGTACACTATGTACAATGCTTGGACTTCATCAAATACATTGGTGAAGGATCATTACGGCACTAGGAACAAATGAGTGATTATATATAATTTGGTTAACAGACATATCCTGTAACACCATCCAGAGCTTATGGGCTTTAATTGAAAGAGTGTGGATGACTGCTGTCTTCTACACTGGCAGCACCTGAAGTACCGCAGCAGAGTACAGATTGTTTTCATGTCATTGTTTTCCTTCAGCTAATTGGGCCAGCTCTTCTGGCGGAATTCCAAGGCGTTCCTTGGCCAGCTGAGAAACATAGTCCCTCCAGCGTGTCCTGGGTCTTGCCTTGGGTCTCTTCCCAGTTGGACGTTCCCGGAAAACCTCACCAGGGAGGCGTCCAGGAGGCATCCTGACCAGAAACCCGAGCCACAACAACTGGCTCCTCTTGACGTGGAAGAGAAGCGAATCTACTCCGAGCCCCTCCCAGAGGACTGAGCTTCTCACCCTATCTCTAAGGGAGAGCCCACCCACTCAGCAGAGAAAACTCATTACAGCCGCTTGTATCCATGACCTCTTTATTTTCGGTCACAACCCAAAGCTCATGACCATAGGTGAGGGTGGGAACGTAGATCGACCGGTAAATCGAGAGCTTCGCCTTCTGACTCAGCTCTCTCTTCACCACGACAGACCGGTACAACGGCCGCATCACTGCAGATGCAGCACCAATAAGCCTATCGATCTCACGCTACAGTTTTCCCTCACTTGTGAACAAGACCCAGAGATACTTAAACTCCTCCACTCGGGGCAGGACCTCATCCCTGACCCGGAGAAGGCATTCTACCCTTTTCTGACTCAAGACCATGGTCTCAGGGTCAGAGGAGCTGATTCTCATCCCAGCTGCTTCACACTCGACTGCGAACCGCTCCAGCGAAAGCTGAAGATCACGTTCTGATGAAGCCAACAGGACCACATCATCTGCAAAAAGCAGAGACCTGATCCTCAGGCCACCAAAATGGATGCCCTCCACACCTTGGCTGCTCCTAGAAATCCTGTCCATAAAAATTATGAACAGAATCTGTGACAAAGGGCAGCCTTGGCGGAGTCCAACTCTCACTGGGAACGAGCCCGACTTACTGCTGGCAATGCGGACCAAGCTCTGACACCGGTCATACAGGGACCTAACAGCCCGTTTCAGAGGGCCTGGTACCCCATACTCCTGAAGTACCCCCCACAGGGCCCCAGAGGGACACAGTTGAACGCCTTCTTCAAACCCACAAACACATGTAGATTGGTTGAGTGAACTCCTACGTACCATCCAGGGCCCCCAAAAGGTATAGAGCTGGTCCAGTGTTCCACGGCCAGGATGAAAGTGTTGTTCCCCTGATAGTTTAATTGGAAAAAGGTGGC